CAGGGTGTGGTGAAAAGGGAACACTTCTACACTGTTGGTGGGAGTGTAAACTAGTGCAACCTCTGTGGAAAGCAGTGTGGCGATTCCTAAAAGCTCTAAAAATTGACCTTCCATATGACCCTGCAATCCCCCTACTGGGAATATACCCTGAAGAACACAAATCACTCTATAAAAAAGATACCTGCACACGTATGTTTATCGCAGCATTGTTCACAATAGCAAGAACCTGGAAACAACCATGCTGCCCATCAAAAGAGGACTGGATTAAAAAAATGTGGTACATATACACGATGGAATACTACGCAGCCATAAAAAAGAACAAAATCATGAATTTCGCTGCAACCTGGATGGAACTAGAGTCTATAATACTGAGTGACCTCTCACAAAAACAAAAATCCGAATATCACATGTTTTCACTCATATAATGGACCTTGAACATCCAATGCAATTTTATGAGAAAAAGACGGATGGTTCTGGGAAACTATGGGGGGGAGGGGGATGGGATTAACAGTAGCAAATATTTGTCGGGGGATGGGAAAACACTTTTTATTTACAGGGTGCCTGAATGAAACGTCATTGTACACCTACCCTTAACTGTACCCCCCAAAACCATAATAAAAATTACTGATTAATGAAAAAAAAAAAAAAAAAAAAACCCAAAAACCAAACACAAAATCAAAAAAAAAAAAAAAAAAAATTCAAAACACAAAGCTAAGTTCGATGAATCAGCCTGTAATCCCAGCAATTTGGGAGGCCAAGGCAGGTGGATTGCCTGAGCCTGCGGGTTTGAGACCCACCCAAGATGACCTCCTCTCTACAATAAATCTAAATAAATAAATAAATAAATTCAAAACAAAGGTGGAAGACCTTAAATACATACAGCTTTGTAAAAGGAGGCAACTGAAAAGGCTACACACTGTTTGATTCTAACTATACACAATTCTGAAAAAGGCAAAAGTATGAAGATAGTAAACACAATCAGTAGTTGCTGGGAAGATGGGGAGGGATTAGCAGGAAGGAAGGAAAGGAGGGAAGAATAAATACATAGAACACAAAGGATTTCGAGAACAGGGAAAATATTCTATATGATACCATAACAAACCCCTTCCCACCTCAGTCTATTAATTTTTTTAAAAAATAAGACAGAATAACATTGGAAACAGAAAAAATAGTAGACAATCAATTAAACCAGAAGCTGGTTCTTTGGGGGAGAAAGGACCAAAAAAATTGATAAGCCAGACTGATCAAGGGAAAAAAGGAAAAAAACATATTTGCCAGAACCCTGAAATTGTTTGCTATGAACTGAATGTTTGTGTTCCCCTAAAATCATACACTAAAACTTAACCATCTATGTGATAGTGTTAAGAGGTACTCAAAGTTAAGGTATAAGAATGCTAAGAGGTGAGACTTTTGAAAAGTGATTAGGACATGAGGCCAGAACCTTCATGAATACAATCAGTGCCTTTGTAAAAGAAACTCCAGAGAGTTAGCTGGTCTTTTTTACTATTTAAGAGGACATAGCCAGAAGGTGCCAACTATGAACCAGAAAGCAGGCCCTCACCAGATCCAAATCTATTAATGCCTTGATCTTGGACATCACAGCCCCCAAAATTATAAGAAGTAATTTTCTGTTGTATATAAGCTACCTAGTTTATAGATATTTGTTATAGCAGCCCAAACAGACTAATACACTGCTCTAACAAATAGTCTATTTGGTAAAAGACTTTATTTTTTAGAGTGGTTTTAGGTTCACAGCAAAACTAAGAGAAGGCAAGTATAAAGATCATCCCTTGTTCCTTCATATGCATAGTCATCCCAGTTATCAACACGCTGTAAGAGAGTGGTAAAACTGAACCTACAGTGACACATCATAATCATCCAAAGTGATTAGAATTCACTATTGATGATGTACAGTCTATGGATCTGGATGAATGTACAATGACGTGTATTCAACATTATAGTATAACACAGACTATGCTCACTGGCCTAAAATCCCCACTGCTCTGCCTATAAATCCCTCCCTACTTCAGTCTATTAATTTTTTTTTTTAATGTAAGATACAATAGCATAGGAAACAGAAAAAACAGTAGAAGAGAATCAATTAAACCAGAAGCTGGTTCTTTGGTGGAGAAAGGATCAATAAAACTGATAAGCCAGACGAGTCAAGGAAAAAAATGGAAAAAACACAAGTAACCACCATCAGAAATGAAAAAAGTATTGCCACAGACCTCACACATTAAAGAATAAAAAGAAAATATTATTAAGAAATTTATGCAAATTGTATGACCTAGGTAAAATGGACAAATTACTTGAAAGATATACTACTGAGCTACTAACACGGACTCAAGAACAAATAGAAAACTTGAACAAGCCTATATCAATTGAAGAAATTTAACTTGTAATTAAAAGCCTACTCATAAAGAAAACTCCAGACCCAGACGGTTTCACTGGTAAATTCTATCAAACATTTAAGAAATGAGTAGCAGCAAACTCACACAACACTTTTGGAAAATAGAGAAAGAAGGAATACATTTAATCTAATACAAATCAAAAAATTACCTGATTCCAAAGCCAGATCCAGATACTTAAAGAGTAACTGCAGATGAAAATCTCTCATGAACACAGATGATAAAATGCTTTCAAATATATTAGCAAGTGGAATCCAACTTTTTTCTTTACTTTGGAACATTTACAACAAACGAAGCCAACAATTTTTTTTTTTTGAGTCAGAGTCTCACTCTGTCACCCAGGCTGGAGTACAGTGGCATGCTCACAGCTACTGTAACCTCAACACGCTGGGCTCAGTGATCCTTACAAGTAGCTGGAATTAAAGGTGCGCACCACCACACCTAGGTCCTTTTTTTTTTTTTTTTTTTTT